ATTTTATATTGGACTGTGTAGAAAAATGACTGAACCATACAAACAGTGTGGAGAGGGAGAAGAGTCAAGGAATGAAGTGGATGATGAATCTATCGCGTCAGACTCGAGTGCAGTCACGCCTCCGCCCTCAACCTTGAAAAGACCACCAGTGAAAGAGCCAGTAAATCGTCTAGAGGGTGGCTTGAAAATTCACAAAATGGTCCATGTTCCTCCCAGTAACAAGAAGAATGGTGCCCTGAGAAAGTGTCGCGTGAGTGCTAAGCACAAGATTAGAAAAGAAACAAGTGTCATGTGTGCAAGCTGTGGTGTGGCTCTCTGCAAACTTTCATGTTTCAATTTTTATCACACGAAGAAAAACTAATAAAGAGGTATGGAAAGGCATTTATTGCATAAAATATTGTATTTTAATTAGTTCCTGAAAATTTCGTTTTTAAAAACCAATTTTTGTTGAAGTTGTTTAGGAAAAAGTAACTACATGCATTTTAGCGACATAAGGTTTAAAGGGCCTGCCAGGACAGGGATGGGATTTAAATACCCTTCGCGCAAGTCAAAGAGTTAAAATACAACATTATGAAAGTGTATTGGGTATGAAATGTGCTTCATTTCTTATAGAGCTTTCATTTAAGGTGGATGTTAAATTTGGCTATCTAAATGAAAACAGGAAAGAATTGATAATTATCCATAAAATTCTTCAAAAATGAAAATCCATCAAGTAATTCTTGAGCTGTTTCATGCGTGCAAACGGATACATGGAGTAAACTTAATAGGTGCTTCGTAAGGTTATGAAACGAGCATAAAAATAAAGATGCTGATGTTATGATGCTTTACATCATTTTCTAAACCTGTTGTACTTACATCCTTTGAGATCCTGAGATAATAAATCGCCAGACTGTCCACCCTACTAGAGATGACAAACCAACTACCCACAGTAGAACGATGTGACTGAAAAGAAAAAAGGAAGCCATTTTAAGCACATGTCTATAACATTGCCAAAAATTCAATTTATTTCTATATGCAAAAATGCAGAGGATGTAACTGAGAATTATGCATGCTGCTGAACAATGCTGAACTCCTGTTTCAGCACTGCTGACACTGCTCATACCACCACCAAGAATTGTAAAAAAATAACCTCAATTTGAACTTCAGAAGTGGAGATATAAGTTACACTTCTTAAACCAAAATGAACAAATAATTATAAATTAAAAACTGAATCAAGTAATAATAACCCTGACTGATGCCTGGGCTGTTTAACAGTGTTTTCTTAACTGTTCGGTTATGCAGAATGGTAGAATGACTGTGAGCAATCCTTTTGAAAGAATGTGTAAGGAAGCAAGCACTGTGTATTTTAAGGTACCCTCCCACCATCTTCCTGGAGGAACCAGTGGTGGTGGTGGTGGGGGGGGGCACCCTCAGTCAAGATAGCTAGTTTCTGGACTGAGATTCAAAACCAAGACCTTCCATACATAAAACAGGGCTGTCAGCTATTCAATTACAAAGTTTCATGACATTTTTATATATATACTGTGACATGTTGCGCAAAGGAGAACCCCCCCCCACCAGCAGTGACGCGGCGGGTGAGTCAGCGCTCCCCTCCCCCTCCTCCGCACGGTAACGTAACGGTGACGCAACAGGATTGTTACGGTAGTAACAGCGGTTACTACCGCTAGCGTTACTAGCAACACAGCGCCAGGCAACAAGGGTGCCTATTACGTGGCCGTTTTCCGTATTGTCCGATCAAGGCTACATAAGGAGCAGCGAAGGCTATTCACAGTCAGTTGTACTGAGTCAGTCAGTTAGTCGTGGAGCTACCTACGAGTCAGTCCTCGAGCTACCTCCGAGCTAGTTCCGAGTTAGCCAGCAACTAGTCAGTTGTATTGTGGCATTTGGAGTGTACTAATTGTGATACTGCAGATAGCAGTAA